GAGGCAAGCTGCGGAAAGTTAGCAGTCAGAACCTGCTTCTCTTCAATTAGCGGATGGGACGAGGGCTGCTGAAGATCGACAAGAACAAGACAAAAATGCCTGTCATCAACGGATCAGCTTGTTTATGAACGTGTCTTAATTGAAAAAATTTTTCTCTTTCTTCTGCCAGTTGCGGTCTGCAAATAAACTGAGAAACAGTGGAGCAAGTAGAAAAGTTCGTGAATTTCCGGATCGTGTTTACTGGTAAGAGAAAATGAAAGGAGTATGTCGACCTGTGGATTTGAATGACCAGCTAGTTTCTAGGTGGACTGGCTCAAACAGTTGTGGCCTACGCAGAGGTTAGGCTGAGGACTGGGCCCTATGTGTTCATCGTTTCGATCGTCACTTTAATATTCATGTACAATTTTTAGTCGTTGGCCATTACTGTAAAACTTCAATCTCGGGTACAAGGTATCTGAGACGAATCGCAAGAGTCTCAGGTCTTAAGATGGTCCGGAGTACAAATATTCCAGAGATTATCGTATACGACAGCTGCTTCTATAGATTTAGAAGTCACGGCTGCAATTATCCAAGACACATTGCGGGTGGTTTCAGGAAGGAAAACGAAACTGCTACTACTTAAATAGTCGACAGGATGAAAAGCCCGGAATGGTCAAGAATTTCGTATGGCAATTCTCTGAAAGGTGTCGTTACCGACTCTTTTTATCATCTGCAAATGATTAAACGAGATCGATCACATTAGAAACATTGTCTAATTCGTCTGCTGGTGCGAATCAGTGAATAACGGTTATAAAAACGCACTGTTCGACCTAAGAAAATAATCAGACGAATGGGTTCAGCAAAATGAGAATCGAGATATACAGATATACCAAGCAAAAGATTAAACAATAGGACCAGAATATCGCAGGATAACGGTTTACCAACGAAACTGTGGTAAATTAGCGTTCACTAAAACAATAATTTAAGGGAATAATGACGAATTAAAAACCCGATGGAGAGAACGACTAACTTGATAAGACACGAATGGATTTGACTTTCTGAAACCTTTAATGAAAAACTTCATTGAAATCTATGTTTGGATTAATCTTATTAATTAACGAACGAGAATAAAAGAATTGCGAAACATGAATTACCTATCACTGTGAAAAGTCTTATTATGAAATTAAATTGAGCCTGAATATTTCCGTCTGCTTCCAAACGCCGCATCACCGAATACGAAAATAGGTAAATGAAAGTAGCATTACGCTAACCAACTTGCATTGATAGATTGAGTGATATACTTATTTGCTTCAAATTGTCGATATTGCGTGAAAAATTTATTTTCTAAATTCTTTGTTAATAGATGTTTAAACTACGATGACGGAATGTGACAAAATTGACGGACATCCGCAAGAAGCTATATCTCGAAAGCTTCATACAAAAACAGTTATAAAGCAACAATCGACAAACAGTCGCGAGGGAAGTAGCTATGTTAAATAAATGTTCCGCGCTATCAGTTAGTCATACATGCACGCTGTCTATGTAAAAATCTTTAATCCGTTACCATCTAACGTGAGAAATCTGTTCATCCTTAGTTCTTAAGCCCGAGTAAATCTTGTCTAACCAGCTGGTACATATGAAATCCTATGAAATTGGAATTTTATCCTAACTTGTGAGTTCCGCTTCAAGCCCATCATCTATGATAAAATGCGAAGCGCCACAATCTGAAAAAAATTTTACACTGCTGATCTATACAACGTGGAAGAGTCATCTAAATACTAAATATTGGCAGCTCGTTAGGAGAGAAAGTCACGCCACTAAGATATGCCGGACAAAAGCACATGTTATAGGAGATGACGAGAATGTGCCATGAAAAAAATCGGATAATCGGGTGATTGAAAGGGTGGATAATCAATCGGTATTCGTTTATGGACACGCTAACAGATGCCAGTAAACTCTAGTTGTAAGATTCGAAATACGCATATTGTTTACAGATGGGCATCGGTAATGACCTAGCCAGCAAATGCTTCGAACCAGTATCAGATTGCGTTGGTATCAATAGTGAACTGGTCTAAATATCGAGAACTATTGGAAACTGCGACTATCCTATACGACTAATGTACGAAAAAATCAGCAACCAAAAGGGATAGAACTAAAAGCGAACAAGAAAAATTCTAATTAACCGCTGTTGCTATTGCACCATTTATGCAAGACGTAAACGAGATGTTGACTAAAATTCTAGGAAGGAGTGGAAAACGACTAATAGTCAGATTAAAGTAAACATTACGTTCCCATGCGGATTTCAGAACTGCTCAGTCAGAATTCAACAAATATGATTGGACCTACCATCTGCCTTATGGTCTTGATTACATAAAACAATTTGGTAACACACAGAGGAAGAACACCTCTGTCACACGACAAGGTAGTGCAGCGCCGATATACGTCAGAAGAGACAAAAAAGTGAAGGGCAGAGAGAAACGCATGATCGCCTGATGACGAAGAAGTAAAGCAAAAAAAAAGTCAGCGATGTGGAACATGCTATCCAAGAACGATACCGTTTTTTGGGGCCAAATGAAAAAAATACACGGGAAGAGGAATCTTTGACGCCAGGGTATTAGGGAAGTGATGGTAACTGAACCAGTTCAGCGCATGAATAAACATGTTTATACGGAAGAAAGTTGCGAAACAACCATCATAATGAAAGTTAAAACTTTGGTAGTGAGTTTTTACTCAAGCACTACATCAGAATTTCACTGCAGCACTCTATATTATAATATATTTCTCTGAAAATTGATCGAAGCGCTTGATTATACATATATAATATATTCCATTCGCTGTGTCTTCCAATGAAAAACTTTGCAGGCGTTGTATTCATGAGTTACGTTTGTTATGCATGCTAAAAACTAAATATCTAAAATGGGATGATTGTTAGTATAATCAGCAGGCCTCAATAACAGTAGTAAAAAGCTTTAATTCATATTTTGATGTACGTCATGAAGGCAGAATTCTCAAAGGTATGTGCCAACACATATTATTGGTGCGAACCAACCATTATGACAAAGCATTGAAATATCTTGATGATCGCAGTGATTACGATATTGTTACCTTTTTTGAATGCTATGTATATTAAAACATCTGGTAGTAGGTTTAGGCAGCAAAATTTGACTTTATGCCGTGGTGCCTGATGTCGAAATCATATTACTTCCGACATTTATGCGCTGGAATGCTAGAAACTAAATCCATAACATTTTAACTTTGACAGCAGTATTTCTTATATGATGCATCGTGAAACGAAATGCGCCCGACTCTCGGATGAATTATTCTGTCTGTGCGTTTTATTTTGGAAAATCTTTCCCTTTTTCGCATGTTATTTTTAACAGACACCATTAAGATATTAGCACGGATGGATTATCCGATTCGATTGCATGATTCTAATTGCGGTAGTATCCTTGGATCCTTTTGTAAAACCTGGATGTTAATTGTACAGTTTTTCGTTTTAAGGAAAGCAACAGTCCTCATGGTTCTGATTAGGCAGTGAAACTTGAGCAAAAAGCTGAATGAATATTGATGGTTGTTTGAAGGATTCATGATTCGACAGTATTGTCAAACGGAACACGCTGATCCAATAAAAATGGTAATGTGTTAAGTAAAATTTAGGCTTTGAGTAGTACCTTAATACTATAGCGATGAGGCAACTTGTTATGTTCCTAAAGTAAGCAATTAACAATTAAGCTTATTAAGTAGGCAGTTAAGTTTTCTATAATTGAATTTCTCTAATCTGCTAGCCTATCACTTTATGTCGTTGTGCCGGTCCCGTTAAATTTAATTTAACACTGAGCGGCTTGCCATTAGGTCATCTGCCATTAGGAGAGTGAGGAGACCAGTGGCACAGTGGGCTAATAGTTTATTTGACGTTAGGCACTTTAAGGTTGCCGGCTTTGAAACAACACGCATAGCATAAATTTTCTTTATTATGTTTTAGTGTGCTTGAGCAACAAATTCATTTGCCCCACTGTGTTTCGGTGCAACCAGCCATAGAACAGCCAGAAGTTATTGACATGCGAGGAACAACATCGCGAGATCCAATGCTGTAAGATGCATTCGCTCTGATTCGCCTGACTGCTGGCTGCAAATCGTCACGTGGAAACGTGTAACTTTAGAAAGAATTGAATTTAAATGACCCCGCATCTGGAGAAAAAGATCGCGAAAAACATCCCATCCTCTTCAAGACTGTCATTAATGCAGAATGCTCGTTTCATCGTTCTTTAAGCCGGATCCGTCAGATTAATATTTCTAAGCAAATGGCACTTTTTCAGTTCTTTCATATGCCATCTTCAGCGACAAATAGCACTGTTCAGACCGTTCAAACAGCGCTCTTTCTATGTGCTAAGTGTGACATCATTTTGTTTTCATTCGATCATATGTTAAGCGTCGTATCCCCTTGTTAGACCTTTTTTTGTTGTTCTGTGCTTTTGTTTTTTGTTTTATTGGTCAAAATTCTATGAAGATTTATTCATTCCAATGTCCTGCTATATTAGAACGAGCAAATAAGTTGGGCATTTATACTGTAATAAAGTCAGCTAAACCAGGTTTGGACAGATGGCTGGATGCATTCAAAAAGTGAAGTCCTGAAAGTGCTGCACTAGCCCACTTTGTTACGTTGATAATGATAACCGTAGTTGGGTATCAACACGTAATCAGTGATACCTATCCTTCACAAAAACATCACAAAGCGTTCTAATTTCTCTGTAAGAAGGTTAAAGAAAAATCAACGGTAGTTCACTAGGGTTAGCTCACTACTGGGCTGAGCAAGTGGTGACCAAAAGAATTCTGGGGGAACGTGATTTCCGTTCGTTGTACATCTCTAGTGAGTACAAGTCAGATGAGGGA